TTCAGTTGGAACGAAGTGAACAAGAGAACAAAAGATGCCACTGAAGATGTGTCACCTGGAAAAGCCACTGTTGAAGAAGAAACTACTCGGTTTTGAGAAGGGAAACAGTGAAGCCCTTCATGAAGTTACTACCACTGATGTGACTATTACCTATAATAGGACATTTCCTGATGGAGCAGATGAACCCCACGTGAAGGAGAAGCTAACGAGATGGAGACCAGTACAGAAGAAGATACGTCCCGTAAAATTAAGAGACTTTGTTGAATTTTAATTTTGTGTTTGTAAATTCTGTCCATTTATTAAGTTATTGTTAATTTTCTATTGGTTTAATGTAAGTGGCTATTGTTTGGGATGAACAATACTAAGGAAGTGGCAGTATTACAACAGTGGAAGTCACGTGAATCTGGTAACACGTAATGAGTTCTAGAAAGATCGGGGAACATCACAAATAATCCAGTAATTGCTAGGCGCCCTCTATTCTTGTATATAAGTGCGCCAGATAATGAATCGATGAATAATTGCAGATTGAAGAGATAGAGACGAACAAATGAGTCAAGCGCGGTAGTAAAGTGCGTGAATCATTCGTTGAGAATTATAGCGTGTCTTTAAGTTAATGTGACTGTGGAAATTAAGTATATTGCAAAGTTGAATTGAGAAATAATACACTAGTTTTATTTAAGAAAGGACTTGTATCATTGAAGTTTCTCGGAAAGTATTTCTAGGAAAAATTAACAAATGAACACAGACGTAACACAAGGTTAAACAGATCACCTTACAACTATCCCACAAAAAAAGCAGATGAGTTCACTAACCAGCCAAGCTAGAAAAAGTAACACTTCAGGCTACATTTTTATACGTGACCTTGACTCTATTTAGTGAGTTGTAACTCAGATTTTCTTGTAGAAAGAATTACAACTTTTGTAGGTAAGAGATGTTCTCTTGGAAGGTGAAATATCTAATATATTTATAATACAGGTGAAAGCTATGGATATAAAAGAGAGCTCTCTAACTCCAAAACCCTTTGGTGAAACTAGGCATATTTTCTAGTACTAGTAACAAGATAATAGACAGCAGCTGTAAAGCTTCCAGCTACACCTCAATATCAGTGTCTATTTTCATGAGAAAGATTGTCAAATTCGACTAAATACATGCAGTACATCTCCAACGGACATTAGTGCTGATGTCCGCATTCATTGGAGGGTTTTTGAAAAGTTTGTCAGTATATATGGTTTTAAGATGAACCTCACCATCGTTTGCAGTATCTATTTATAGCAGATGTTGAAGATCAGGTATTTAAGGTCATCAGTTTGAGCACAATCAATGCTGGAGAAAGTAATTATATGGTATTCATAATTCTCTCCAAGTATCAGATAAACAACAAATTCCCCAGAACTATTGAGAGTGGTTGTAAGAGGGTAAGTGACTGAGTGGTTCTCAGAAATCGTGAGACTGGGAACATCATTTTCACAAAGTGTGATGAACATTACTGTTGCCAACTCAACATGTGAACTGAAATGAAATGCTTTTAAAAACCATCTTTCATACTTTTATGCATGAAAAGAAAATCATATCTCCTTTTTTATTATTGTCTCAAAAGATTAAAATAAATATCTCAAGGGGAATGAGTAAAACTGATTAAAAACATCATCAGTGATTTTTCATATTGAAAATGCCTTACATTTTGTTTTATTCAGTCATAAAAAAATAACTGAATGACACTCAAAAAGTTCAAACAAAATTCCTAGAAAATAGTTTATAGATCATCCGATTTACCTTTCCACTCATAGTGGAATGGTTGTGAGTCATGCTTTTGTGTCCTTGACCAAGACACTGTACCCCTACTTCTTCCAGTCTACCCAGCTGTATGATGGATACCTATTTGTTAGCTAGGGGTTAACTTGCAATGGTCTGGCATCCCATCCAAGGGGAATGGATCACTGTTCTTATCTATATGTACCATTGGAACCAGAGTTTGAAAGCACCAGCTCTGTGTTGTATGAAGTAACTTTTTTAACTGACAAGTGCCGGTATAATTCATAGAATTATTCAAACATATTATAAGTTTATATCAAATGAGAAAAAAAATCAAATGTATGCAAATCATTCTAAAATAGCATTGAGATATAACTTCATATTATATTTACCTTTATTAGATAGACTGTTATAAACATTTATAACAGTCTATCTAACAAAGGCAACAAAGTTTATTGTTCACAGAAAATATGAAAGAAATCCTAAATCATCACAAATTTTATGTTATTGTAAACTTTATACAGTAATTAACATATTAAAGCTATAATTTATAATATGTTACAGGTTATGGAAGAATATGTTTATAATGTCTCAGTCACTACTATGCATTTTGTTTCACAGCCAGCCTGATGAGCCCGGGTATGGGGGGCGAAAGGTTATGTTGGAACTGGATATATCAGTTATAGTGTGGTGAACTTATTATTTTACACTCTTCTTCATATTCACTAATAAGTTCTTAAAATTAGTTTGATGTCAGATAGTTTTTGTTTTCATAATTTTTTATCATTGCAAGGTTTCTTATTTATACGTGGTCAAATTTTGAATTTTGTACAGATAACGGGCAATGAAGTACCAATAGATTTTGGGATTGTCAGTTGTGATAGCAAAGGAGGACGGTTAGATTTATCAGTTAAAAAAGGCGAACCTGTGAAAATACTCCGTATGGAAAACAATCCTTCAGGAAAATGGCTTGTTAGTAATGAACGAGGAAAGAGTAAGGAAACCTTGTCTCGAGAGAAAGAGACAAAAATATTATATTTATTTATTGCTCATGGAAAGAGATATTTAACAATTAAGTTGTATAATAATTTTTATGTTAATTTAAAAATAATCTAAGAATAGTTGGGTCCTTATAATCAAAACTTTGCAGAAAAATTATGATAATGACTTTTATTGCAGCTGTTTACTGCTCAGTATTAATTGATTGGGAAAAAATGTTTTATGTTCACCTAGATTTGTTTGTGTATTTGTTATTTAGCGTCTAATTGTAATGACTAAAAATTACTATTTTATTTCACATAAATATATGTATATTTTTCTTGAGTATCAACATTTTATTGTTTTTGAAAGTTCCAAATTACCACGTCTTCAGGGAATCTGATATAATTGCAGTGTAGTTAGATTTTTGTGGGATTTAGTGCTCTTCTTCAGAAAGTGCTCATATGACTACCTAACCACATGCATACTTTCCCAACAATTTGTTAAAAAAGAATAAACGTTGAAAGTAAAGGCAAATGGATATACAGTAATGACATATTTTGATACCATACTTACCCCCCTCACAAAATTAGGTATTTCCGTTAGGTGCTGCCCTCTATATGCGAACTTTTTCTTTATGCATACCACAAGCCTTGTGCTCCCTTATTGGAATTGTAATATTCCAAGTGTTTCTTATGCAAATAATCATCCGTCACTTCTCCACCAATAAGAGCATGACATGCTCACTAGACGTATATGACTCCCTCTATACTCATCTACTAAACTCTTACTTCTCGTTTGGCAGCGCTTGTATTCAGTTCCCTTTCTGCTTCAGTTTCCTCATTAATTTATCAAGTTTTCATTCAGACAGTTTCTTCACTTTGACAAATTTTATCAGTTAGTTCCAGTTGCATTATTTTTTTAAATTCACAGCTACAAATTGGTTGACTCTTCACAATGAATTCTGAAGTTTATGTTACCACTTCGGGGGTAACACCTGCTATTAGTGTTCTTTCTCAGGCTTCAGGTGCAGACGACCTGATAGTAGTTTTATCTGCATTTAACCTCTGGGAGATCAAACATTACATGGGCCAGCCTTTGTCCCTGGATCTTGCCCTGGTTCCTCCTGAACAGGCCGAGCCTCTTCTGACTGACGAGGACTTGGATCGTCTAGTTCCATTCTCTTATGATTTCTGTCAGGTGGCCCGAGCATTTGCTCAACATCTTCATGTTCTGGGGTTGAGTTTTCACTCATGGACGACTGGCTTCTTTTGGCTCATTCTGAACTAGAGTCAGCCAGCCATACTTGGCCGCTCCTTTTAGTGGCTGCTCGAGTGAGCTGGTTAATAAAACTGGAGGAATCCTTCCTCAGACCTACTCAGTATCTCGTCCACTTGAGGGGTCCTTTTCGACACTCATATCAGTGGGGCCCAGCCTTTTTCTTTAAGACTTCATTCTATGGAATTGTTAGTTTGCCACTCTCTCTCAGTTCAGTCACTTACTGCTCACAATTATCTATTGCTTTCAGGGGATGTGGTCTTCAATGACATCACTGATCCCTCTCAGTCATGCCCATATGAAATCTGTTCAGTGGACTCTTCGCAATCAATGGAACCTTGCATGGGATCCTTTTTCTACTCCCATTACCCTTCTTCTTACTCTGCGAGATGGTCTGCTCTGGTGGTTGAAAAAGGCACATACTTTAGTGGGCATGCCACTTCCACATCCACATCTGGATCTACATCTTTTCAAGGATGCATCCCTGCAGAGCTGGAATGTATGGGTCAACCATCACTTTAGGGCAATAGTCTGTGAAAGAAAGTGCTTTGCATATCATAGTTCTCAAACTTCTAGATGTTCATTGTGTGTTGAATCACTTTCTTCTTCTCACCCAACATTGTCTGTTAACGATTCATTCAGACAATTATATGGTGGTGGCACATATCAATCACCAAGGGACCCTTTTCAGGGATCTATGTATTTGAACGATGGATCTCTTATACTGGGCTCACACATTAATCTCATTGCCTGTCATGTACCAGGTGCTTTCAATCTTATTGCGGATCATCTTTCCCATCCTGACCATTTATATACCACATAGTGGTCGTTAAATGCCCTTGTTTTCAGGGAGCTTTGCACTTGGTGGGGTTCTCCCTATGCGAATGCCTTTGTTACAAGCCTCAATCACAAGTTAACTGCCTTTTGGTCAATGGTCCCACATCCTCAGACTCTGGCAGTTGATGCCTTCAGCCAAGATTGTCCCACAAATATCTTTGTTTATCTTCCTATCAGATTACTTCAATGGGTGATTTTTCTCATCCATACCACTTGTTGGGTGCTTCTGATTGCTCCTTATTGGCCAGCTCAGCTATGGTTTCTGCAGTTACACACCTGATACTATCCCCTCCTGTACCTCTTTCATCATTTCTCTACCTTCTTTGTCAACCTTGGTCACTGGTCCTACATCCCGCCCTTCATGTATTGCATCTTCATGTTCTGCTTTTACCGGGTCCTTGATGAGGAGATCCAATTTCTCCCATTGAGTAGCTTTCTTTTTAGCTGGTTCCATATGCCTTTCTTCCATGGAGGTGTATCAGTGCAAATGGAGGGTGTTACACAGTTTGTCTATAACTCTGGGATTTCTCACTGACCAGCTTACTGTGGCTTGGGTGGTGGAATTTTTCCCTTGGCTTTTTGACTGGGGGGGCCTCAGTCTCCTCGCTCTTGGGTTATCGGATGGCTTTTGTTTTTCCTGACACCATAGAGTTTTTACTTCACCTGTCCTTACCATGCTACTGCATTCCTTTTGGTTGCATCGCCTTTCTGGATTGGGATGTTAATGTGGAACTCCATTTCCTCACTTTAACTCTTTTTGAACCACTTTCCTCGTGTTCCATGTTTCATCTTTCCCTCAAAACATATTTTCTTCTTCTGTTAGCCTGTGGACACTGACAGTTGGATTTGTTTGCCATTGACATTTTATGTACACTTTATCACCCTACCTATCTTCTCCTTTATCCAGATCACTCCTTCCTCTCAAAGACCTCGGTGGCTTGGGAGGGTAATTCCGCCTTTTCACCTATTTCTCTTCCTTCCCTTTCTCATCTTTACCCTCGACCAGATCCAGATCGGCCTCTGCATCTGGTCAGGATTCTTTGTTGTTATACTGCTTGTATGGGTTCTTTCCATGGTACCTGTGTCTGACTCTTTACCCCCTGGCAGTCTTCCTCATGTCATGATCTTTCACCTTCAACACTTACCAGTTGGATCTGATTGGCTTATTCTTCCTTACCTCCTTCCTCCCGGAATTTGTTCCGGGTGTCTTCTCATCAGATTAGACACCTCATCTTTTCCCTCGCTACTCATCTACATCATCCATTGGATGAGATTATACAATCAAGCATGTGGACCATGCCCAGTATGTTCATCTCCCATTATCTACATCATATCATGGTTTTTTTTGTCGGGTTTTGTCTTCCACCTGTGGCCATTCTTCAGACTTTGATGCGACTCTGACTAAGTTTCTATTCATACTTTCTTTCCTTTCAGGAGCAATTTTCCTCATTCCTCATTATATGGATCCTTAAAATCCACACTGTACAGCCATGTTGATTCACGTTTTATATTCCATGGCTTCACAATGCTCACCATTGAGATGGAGTGTTCCAAAAGATCACTTATAAGTGAATAACCTTGCGATATTTTGCTTCATAAAAATGCAGACTGTACAACCCATGGACTGCATGGGTAAAGCAGAAGGGGACAGCTGCCCATCCTGTAGTGAATAGCTCGATATGGTTTGCTTTTCAAAATAGGGTTTTGTGGTCATCCATTACATTGTCTCAGGTGATGTTGTTCCTCCAGACTCTCCACCATCTTTTCACCTTCCTTTCCTCTGGTGGAGTATGGGAGTCCCTACCACTTTCCAATCCCAAGCTGCTGGAGTGGTCGACTGTGGAGGCACCCTCCTGAGTGGGTTCCACACAAAGATGGCTATAACCATTTAGTGCGGAGTAGGGCAGTGGTGTTCTGCAAGTGTAGATGATGTATTCTCCTCCTCCTTTAAATATAGAATTACGAAGGAGTTCACCATTTCGATTTGGAGGCCTCACCCTACTCCTGCATGAATGTTGGTACCCCACAGTTGGGTTTTGGATTCAGATTTGAAGAAATCCACATAAGTTCACACACGTTTTGAGTTGTCTGTCTTCCTCTCTTGATCCCCCCATCTGTGTTGTGAGTTACAGAAGTGGTATGTGGGATGGTTATGGTTTTGTCCTTTAGTAGCTCTCCCTCATCCTATATGGGGATGTTATTGCCTTTTGGATGGTTCCGGTAAGTTTCACGACTGGGGAGTTGATTGCATGCGATAGACATCCTTTCAATAATGGATATTGGGTCCCTGGATCAATAGTTCAGTGCTAATACTTGTTTCGTACCTGGTAGAGGGTGTGATTCTAAATCCCATGGTCTCTTAGGTTTGAGGTGAAGATGGTATGATCCTCATCCTACCCCGATGTGGATGTTGGTTCCCAGCATCATGGGTTTTGGATGTAGTTGACTTACCAAATATGGTCTGTCGTGCCCTAGCCACACTACAACTGAGATCATATCAATTGTTTTTCTCACTTTTCTATTCATGGGATTGAGTTATATTTCATTTATATGGTTAGGTTCATGATCCTGACACAGTTCTCTTCCACTTAGATGTGCTCCTCTCCTTTTCTGCCCTAATCTTCTCCACATTTCACAGAGGGGTGAAGAGTATATCTGGTTCAGAAGTGGTGCATTTCTCCTTATTTGATCTTCTAATCTGACTCTCATTTCCAGGGGGTATCCTTTGTATGTTTTCAGGTGGGTACTTCTATAATTCCTTCACACTGATTCCTCCTCCTATTCAATGTGGGGTTCTAGCTAATTTTGTGAGAGGAGGTAAGTTCCGTTTCGGAAGTTATAATTTTCCTATACTGAAAATGCATTTCTGATAGGTACTTATCTCCTCTCACACTTCCCGCCCTTCCTCCTCACTTTTCTCTGGTGCTTAAGTCTTCTGCTAAAGTTCAAAGTGATAGTTCGGTAGATGAGTATAAAGGGAGTCACATGCGTCACGTGAGCATGTAATGCTCTTATTGGTGGAGAAGTGAGTCTTAATGATTTGCATGAGAGGCATGCTGGAATATTAAAATTCCAATAGTGGGAGCACGAGGTTTGTGATGTGTGTAAAGAAAAAGCTCGCATATAGAGGGCAGCACTGAACAGGAATAACTAATTTTGTGAGAGGAGGTAGGTAACTATCATAAATACATTTTCAATATAGGAAAATTATAACTTTAAAGAAAAGGAACAGTATAATATATAAATATACACATGGAAGCAAGTAAAAAGATTGAGGGCATTTTCAAAAAATGACAGCCCTATTCAATGAAGCTTTGCCCATACAGGTAGGAATTTATAGCTCAATAAGTACAATATACAATGTATCATAGCAAAAGTTTTCATTTAATGATAAATCTTGTCTAGAAATCACAAGAATTAGCATCAAGATCTCACATGGAATATTCTTCATCACTTTTAGCATCAAGATCTCACATGTAATATTCTTCATCACTTTTAGCATCAAAATCTCACACGTAATATTCTTCATCACTTTTAGCTTCAAGATCTCACACGTAATATTCTTCATCACTTTGATATAGCATATGCTATTTGTAAGAATTTCTCGTTGTAAAGTTTTCTTTAATATTTTTTCATACTATTATTCTTCCAATAATCTCTACCAAAGCAACATTGATCTAGCAATTCCATTACAAAGAAAAGTAAATTATGAATTTCATATCAGTGACTGAAGTAAATACAATTTTAGTTTAACTTTAGTTTATAAATTCTAAGAGCCATTTTTAGTTTTCATTTAAAACAAATACCAACAGCATATGTATTTTACAAAATGGTTGAAGTACACTGTTATATTGAAAGGAAGCTATCACAATTTGCAAATCACAAACAGTAGTATACCTTGAATAAAACATGGTTACCAATAATGGAGTTTTGGAAAAGTAAAACTGGAACTACAGCAAATCGTAATTGTATATTTTTTTTCTAATACACAAGTAGCAAAACTTCTGATCTATCAGTTTCATTTTTAAAAAACATTTCTGTAACATATGGTGCATATTATTTGATGATGTCTGATTTCATTTTACTGAAAGATATTTATATGTAACACAAATATTTCCCACATGCATACCAATTTTCTATCAGCTTTTGACATTTAGTGGTACTTTGGTTATGACCTTTTCAAAGATGGCTTTATAATTAATGTTTTCTGTAATGTTAGAATTAAGTTCTGAAATAACTTAAAATATATTTTTATATTAAAAACAAGATAACAGTCAGTTAAGGGTTGTAGCATTGATTATTATATGTTCCATTTATTTTTAGTTACTAGATTAAGAAAGATGAGGAGCTGAATAGTGAAATCACCCTCTCTAAATGTATTATGTAGATATATGTAGTATTAACCATTATCCATTAAGCTTAATATTGGGACCTGAAATTTATATTACTTTGCACTCATTCCATTAAAAAAGAAGTAAAATCTTAAATTTTATGATATCTTTTTTTTTACTATATTTAGTTATGATTTTGATTTGTACAAAATCAGTTTCTAAAAGTTTCTACAGTAAAATAATTTATTCTGTAGTATGGTTTTATTGCAAATTTGTGTGTGTTTATATATATATATATAGCTAGGTAGATAGATATAGCTATGTCAATTTACCTAATTTGGTTTTCAAATAATAGTTTTTTGTATCAGTTTATCATATTTAGTTGATTCATTATTTAAAATGGTTCATTCTGAAACTTCTGTTTTAGTTGGATATGTGGAACTGACAAGCATTCAGATTGAAAACAGTTCAAAGAAATCTGTAAGTTATTGTGTTTGATGTTTAATATGTCAGAATTTTTTTTCAATTTTTGCGATTTAGTTTTCATTCTTTTATTTCTAATTGCCCACTGAAGCGCTAAGATAAATCAAACTTATTTCCTGTGCATGCAGCATGCATCTCAACAGAAAATCAAGCTTCATATAACGTTTTGGTTTCTTATAAAGTGTCTGACATAAAACAGTTATCATCATTCATTTGCAAAGCCGTTTTTTACTAGTTTATTTTTATATTTTTGTAGTAAGGTGTTTTTTTGACGATATATCACCATTATGTATTATTATTTCTAACCCCAAACAGTATAATAAACATAGAATATAGTATAAGCTAATGCAAATCAAATTATAATTAGCCCAATATAATATTGTTCTCTAATGAAACAGTTTGCTTTAATGTAATTGGATAAGTCTTGACCCCGAAATCAAAATTCCATGCTGAAGTACTGACTGTGTAAAGGAGAAATAAAAAAATTCTCAATATCTGAATTCTTAATAATTATCTTAAATAATAGACTTTAATGAACATAATTTTAGTGCTTACTTTTGTAAAATCGTTAATATGCTCTTTCCAGTTTAAACTCTTAAACATTGTTAAACCTAAATATTATATATCATCCACTCTTTCAGTTTGTGAACATTTACAGCTATCATTATTTATACACCCATAATGATTATTATTATTTAAAATCATGTTAATATATAATCACTATTTTGAATTAAAAAATATATATTTTATTTCAGTTATATCAATAGTTTATTTTCAAAATTTTGATTTAAAATTTTTATTCCTCTGTATTAGCAGGGCTAAAAGTTAATGCTGCATCATCAACAAACATAGTAATTTTAAAATTTAAATTTAGATCACATAAATCATTTATGTATAATGTAAAAAAATGTGTCCTAGTACAGAATCCTGAGAGACACTTACTTTATTATATTTATATCACTGAAGCTATTATTTGTTTTTACAATCAGTGTTCTCTATATATATATAAATAATTCTAAACCATTTTAATGTGATGCCTTTTATCACTATAAATTTTATTTCAGCTAATAATATTTGATGCAATATTGTATCAAATATCTTCTGTAAATCTAAAAATACACTTATTGTTTTTTATCATTATCTAAGTATTAAAAATATTTTGTGAGAAATCTAATAGTACCTCTTCAGTATCTAACCATTCTCTAAATCCATATGGAGTTTTAGCAGAAAATAATAATATTTATTTCAAAGTTTAGTTAACCTGCTCATCAGTGTTTTCTTTTAATATGTCAGAAAATTCTGATAACAGTGAAGTAGGCCTATGATTTACATAAGTATTTTTATAACCTCTCTTCTATAGTGGAATTATTATAGCTTTTTGTAGCTCCTCTGAAAAAATTTCTTACTCTACATAAATCATAAATAAGTACCAATGGTTCTATGAGAAATTTATACACTATTGTTACTGAAATTTCATCATTCCCTGGACTTTTTCATATTTCAGACTCACAGTCATAGTTTCACATCCTCATGTTATCCAGGCAACAGAAACATGGAATCACCGTTTCTATGTGAATTAAAGATTTTACATAGCTCATTATAAGTTTGTTTTATAACTTTTTGCTGTACTTATAAAATAGTTGTTACATTTATTGATTTAAAATTTGGTAATCAATTTTTCATAAAATACTTCTCTATCAATATTATTTTGTGGTTTTACGATCAATAATTATTTTAAAGCTATATGTAATGATCTGTTAGTGTTATTTTTTTACAGTTGCTGCGTATAAATTGTATTCTCTGATGTGTCTTATCCAAACATGAAATTCATTGGCTTACCTATGTATTTAATGCATCTAATATAATTCAAAATCAAACAAAACCATTATCTTAATATCTCATTAGCATATTTTTTTTAAATCTAAAATCAATGTTTGCATTACCAACATAGGTTACATTTTTGATTTTATAGTTTCATTATCTCTTACCACAATTTCTAATTTGTTTAAAAACTCATATCTTGTAAAACTATATGATCTATAAAAAGCCATTATAAGTACACCATTTTCATCTAGAATTTGTTTAATATTTATGTTATCATAAAATATTTATGTTTTATCATACACCATTACTCTCACAAACCTATTGTTTTCAGTTATAAACAATTTATGTCAGTTTAACTAATACCAGTTTATTTCTTCATTTTATATCCATATCTCAGTCAGAATTAATTCCCTCTATTTTTTTTTTCTGGTTTATACTTTATCAATTCAGTCTATTCCAATTTTTTTCCAAACATTTCTTATATTTGTGTTATAATAGCATTTGATTATTTCCATCAAAAATAAAATAAAAATTCTCATTTCTGTTTCATCAGAGCAATTGAAGCTTTTTTATTTGTTTCATAAGTATATTGAAATGCATGCTCTCTTATGTTTTACCACTTTATTTAAATCCTGTTTGTTGCTTATTCTCCTTATTTTGGCACTTTATAATTTTATAATAAAGATTTTTTTCTTTTACCAACAGAAATTTGAAATTTGCCATTGTTTTTACAATTTTTGGTTTGTATAATAACTGTTTTAATGTGAATGTTAGATGTTCATTCAAGTAAATATTATCTTTTTTGAATTTTGAATCTGTATTAATACTTCTTATATTTTCATTTTTATTTGCTGTCAGCTAGTTATCTGTTACTACTTTCTACTTAAGTTTTACTATTACAGCTTTCATTACCTGTCTATTAACAGTGCAACCAATATTTCACCTTCACTAATTATTATACAAATTTTATTAGCCATTTTTTAAACAATGTTTAATTCATTTGATACTTCCAAATTTTGACTTCTTGAATACTTATTTAATTCACAAACTTCCTGCTTAATTGGTTTCAACTCTTTTCTTAATTGTAAATTTTTTATTTTCATGTTTTATCTCATCTATTTTTCTTGTGAGTCCTAATTCAGTGTGCATAAACTCATCAATCTTATTTGATGTATATTCAGCTTTTTTTCACATATCACTGTCTAATTCCATTATTACATTTTTTATACCTTCTATATGTATACCACCAAATTATTTTTGTACAAGGTGAGCTTCTACTTCAGTACATTGTTTTCAATTCCAAAATCAAGTACCTGTAGTCCCCCATCCTTCAATCTTGTTTCACTGCTTGCTTATTACCATCCTCTTCAACAATTATCTAAACTTGTGCTCATGCTGTCTTCATAATCATTTATTTTACACTGATTATTATTTCCATTTTGCTTTTCTTTCTTTTGTTAATTTACAATATTGATTTTTGCCAAGTCCAGCACAATAAAAATGTACATTTTTGGCAGAACTCAGAATCAAATACAGTTAATTCAAAAGCTCCTTCACCACACACACAATACTAGTATCCACCATATTTTTCTTTTTTTTTACTTATTTTCATTTTATATGTTTTCAGAAACAAAGTCTTTGTTTCCCATTAAAAAATAACAGAAGCAGTGCCATGATGTTTAGAAACCAATAACTGTGATATGAAGGATTTTTGAAATTAACTTTGTAGTAGAAGTACCTAAACGAAGTTTATTTGTATTGTAAATGTTGAATTATAGATTAATTCTAATATGTATGTGTGCTTTAGTGTATTTTCTCTGTTTCTAATTGTTATTGCAATTTGATCTTGTTCATTATTTTAGGTGGTGATGGCAATGCAGAATACAGAGTAAGTTTAACTTCAGTTGCTTGCAAATGTGTCTTTGTCAATTTCTCCTTAGTTTTTCTTTTGCTATAAATTAATTTTTACCAAGAATTATAACTGCACAATCATCCTCATCTTTAGATTATAAATAGTGAAAGTGGGTTTGCTCATTGTTAATATACAGACCAGTCTTTTAAACCTTCCTTCTAGTCACATGTGAAAAGTTAAGATATAAAAACTATTTATAGTAAAAGTGTGTTATTATTAAGATTTGAATAAACAGGTTTATGTATCTTACTTGCTCAAAATTCTCAAATGTTAGTCATAATATTTTATGAAAATGACATGTATAAATGTTAAGAATGGTTTCTTGATTTTATTACTTTAGGTTTTCAATAGCACTTCGTAAATTAATTCATAAATATATTGTTTTGGTTTGCAAATATGCTAAAGTATATGAATATTTCAGATGTTACTTAAAATTTTTATTCAAAGTTTCTGTTTCTTTTGAACAGTGAAGAACTATACCATGATGTTGAGATAGAAGGTTTGTAGTTTTTGATTACTTTAAATTGTGGTATACAATTTACATGTTGCAGATTATTAATGTGGAATACATTATTTTATAACCAGAACCATCTGGTTATAACCATCTCATCCTAAAAGCTATGTTACATGTAAATTGCAACTTATATTTATTTATTTCATCTATTTTTACAATATATAATTTTAGTGTGAGGAAATAAATACACAGAAAAAATACAGAATTTTCCACTATTTTGTATTTAAACATTTCCATTTCTGAAGAGAACTCTGTAATATGGGTGTACATGAAAAAACATTTAAGCTTACAGAAACAAATTAATGCCTGTAGGTGAACCATCATTTCTATAAACATTAATTCAACTATTATAACTTCAGCTGTATGAACAGAAAATTTCATGGATGAAAACTTGCTTCTCCCACAAATATCATCCTTGTAATGTGACCTAAAACTTGTTTCCAAAACATTATTTTTAGAGCATATTATCCCCCCTCGCTGCACACACACACACACAGAACACTAAAGCCCAAGTATGTGCAGGTCATATGTTTTTGAAGCCATTCTTTCTTGGTGGTGTTTCTTTCTTATAACATTATGTGCTTTTGTCTACTGTACTGAACCACTGTTGTGTTACAGATTTTGTGCTTTTTCTTCTCTTACTTCTAAACTTCTAACTTTAATTTCATGATCTTGGCAACTTTTGATGTGTTTATTTAAAAAAGAATTTCTGTATTACTAGCCCCAATCTTTAGCTTTACACAAGAAATATGTATATCCAAATGTCTACTTTGAGGTCTTTCCATGGTTCCTGACAATTAGAGTATTATCAGCTCTATACTTCATTTAAAAGTGACAAATGAGAAACGTTTGTGTAAAAAGCCATTATATATAGCATAGACTGAATGAGTAATCATTCGTTATACAGACTACATGTCTGATCGTAAGATGCCTGATTTGAATAACAATGAACAGAGCCAGTTGACAACATTACTTTATAAAAGTGGATTTTGCCTCTTTATGATTGGTATATTCAGATGAACTGAATTAACTATAGGGCTATATCCAATAGGTCTGCTTGGAGTTTTGATCAACATATGAACTACTAGAACTTAAGCAAGTTGATGTTAAACAGAATAATGAGACTGGATACAAATATAAAACAAAATGAACAATTTGTATTAAATATGAAACTCTAACACATATGTGCACTTGTGGTTTACCTATGAATATTGGATTGTTGCTTCTATTGGATGTTTTCAGGTTATGATTGTCTACCAGAAGTTTTGTATTTACTCAGCTTGACATGTGCTACCACGAGTCTTGTTACAATTAGATGGGACAGTAACCCCTAGATATCACATGAATAACCACTGAAGGACATTATTGTACATCTTTACACAAGGTTGCATTAAACAGTGTTTTCCACAAGTAGCAGATACTACTTACCTACTTTGAGAAGAACAAAAAAAATTGAAATGAGATCAACGTAATGGTTTTCTCAACTGTGTGTTATGTGAAACTGCACATATACAGAACAAAAAGTAAATTCAGAATAATTATTGTAATGCTACAAGAAGATAGAAACACATATTATATTTATATGCCACATAAATATAGTTTTAGGAAATCTGATTATCTTTTAACTGTTTCATGTAGTGTAGGTGTAGATGGCACCAGTGACATATTAAAGTTTTTGCCACCCTATTTGGTAGTGCTGTCCTCATGCTCTGTAGAAAGGATATAGTCTCAACCAAGAGATATAAAATTTTCTAGGGCAACAGGGTCAAGAACAGGGGTTTATTAGCAATAGAAAATATATAAGAGGCAGCAGGAAGAGTAGGGTCACAAATCATATTTTTAAACAACTGCTTACCCGTGTTTGCTACAAATTAAAAAAAAATGATGCCACCAGAATTTTTTCACCCCATGCCATTTGCCACCCTAAGCTTGGGTCTAATTGGTCTGTGCTGAAGTATGTCACAAGATGGCACTATGTCTTTCAACAATTCAACTTATGTAATTCTTTTTGGTAAGAAGGTACTAGACTTACTTATCAACATTTAACTTTCTCTTACAGGTGAGTTACTAGCTCTTACAAATAAGCCAGCCTTTACCCTATTTAAAAATCTCCCTTCTTGCCTTGAACTGATCCCACAAATCTAACCAGGCTATCTGCTAACCCTTACATATTAACCTAAACCTAGCATTTAGCCCTAGTGACCTACTCATAATTTCATCCCCAATTAATACTTATGGCATTTTTCTCTAAATGCCTTTATCAACCCCTTGTACTTATTAATTACCTCCTCTGACATACCTTTCCCATCATCATTACCCCCTATGTGCACAATAAAAACTGCATCTCTGCTGGTCCCCTTTATTATATCTCCTGCTCTGTCAGTTATATTCTCCACCTTTGTTCCTGGGTAGCATAATCTGATTTTTTCTCCCTATTTACCCCACAGACTATTCTATCCACATGCCTTGTCAAAAAATCACCTATAACTATAACCTCCTTATCATCCACATCCCTCTCTGATCCTTTGGTTTTCCTTCCCTCCAATAGTTACTCATCTGCAGAAGCCAAGGGCTGAAATCTGTTGCTCAACAGAATAGGCTCATTATAACTAAATTCATTACTTTTCACTCATATAGTACTCTTTCTAACTTCCTGAAAGTCATCGTTAGCTGATGTATCCCTGAAATTCTGCTGCATTTTCCAGTCTACACTTCTTATTATCTGTTGACTCTACTTTAATTATGATAGCCTCCAACTTCTTCTCCAACCTACAAACTCTACATACAAATTGCACATCTTCACTACTAGCTTCCTACATTCCAGTCCAGAGTTCCCAAATAAAATCCACTAATCATTGACTATTCAACGTTTTTAGCAGTTAGGAAACTGTTTCTCATTTTTAATGTACCATTCTGACTGTGACCTTAAATGGGCTTTTAAGGCTTTTATTTTCAATCATTTTAAATTTTCAATAATTAATCTTTGTTAGAATTGACTTTAAATATTGTTTTGTTACTTTTGCCATAGTATAACTGCTGTGCAATTAATCGATATTTCCTGCACTTTCTTTCAATACGAGTATTTGTTTTTAGTTTTTATCTAACATCTTTTTTCTGTAAGTTTTAATTTCCATGGCTTGGAATAATTACTTTGCATTACTAGGTTTCTACAGAGTGGTATTGTAGTCTTCGTCATCGATTATTCTTTTAATATTCCCACTCTGTGGAATAGCTTTTTTTCCTTTCCACCCATGAAACTTACTTGAACATCATGTCCCAATGACATCACAGTTATCATGTATAGCCTCTTGCAGTTGTTCGAGATCTAATGTACATCACAGTTATCACCACTTGTTGAGATCTAATTTACATCACAGTTATCACCACTTGTTGAGATCTAATGTACATCACAGTTATCACCACTTGTTGAGATCTAATGTACATCACAGTTATCACCACTTGTTGAGATCTAATGTACATCACAGTTATCATGTATAGCCTCTTGCAGTTGATATTTTTTGCTGTAGATATATTCTGTACTCTTAGTTGTTTCATTCTTGAAATTTTATACCAATATTCTTCATTTCAATTCTAATTATGACTTCTATATGAGTGATTTATATATTTTTAACTTATCATGACTCCTGGTGAGTTGCCTTATATTTGTTTTTAACTTATCATGACTCCTGGTTGAGTTGTCTTAAATTTTATTAACTTATTATGACTCCTGGTTGAGTTGTCTTAAATTTTATTAACTTATAATGACTTCTGGTTCAGTTGCCTTACATTTTTTAACTTATGACTTCTGGGTGAGTTGCCATTTTTTAACTTATCATGACTTCTGGATGAGCTGCATTATATTTTTTGACTGTTATTTTCATCCTTCTGATTGGTTATATAATTATTCTTTTTTCTAGTCTTGATAAATTCTCATCAAATTGTTAGGCTTTTCTCTTTATAGGGAAACTTTTAACATTTTTATCATAGTTTATAAAAGTATGAGAAATCAGAGGGTTTTTTATGATTACCTTTTTGTGCAAGCTTTTATTTCTTTAGGTTGAGTCTCACCTGTATTGGCAATAGTTCTTGTGAATATTTCAATACTTTTTTGTTCCATGTCAGTCATGGTGCTTGTGTTCTTTTAATCAGCATCTTCTTGTTAGTTTGCTCAGCTGATTCACTAGTCACCTAGGGCAAATACGAATCAGTAACAGTGGCATTTCAGGGAATTTTAACTCACTAGCAGCTGTTACCTGTCACATGTTTGTTTATGGACTCCTGAACAAGTTTTATATTCACTTCTCTTTTTTACTTCATCACTTGAATAAGTTAATATCTTCTGCATACTTCTGAACCTCTACCTTTATTTTAAATAAATAAAATCAAAAAAAGATTTTATTTCTTGAAAATGATAAAATTTCAGTTGTAGCTTTTGAAATATTTTAAAATTATTTTATCAAGTGTCTTAGTTTATAATGGTAAAAATCTGATTGCATTTACAGAAGATTAAAAAAAGAATTATGAAACGTTTTAGCTTATAATCAGTTAAGTAATGATTATGTATGCCTTCTTGTTTTGATATTAGTAGATGTCTTTTAATTTTATAGGTTTTACCTCAGCTTGTGATAAACATGTTTTTAATGCTTAATTTCAAAATGGTTGTAATTTTTTTCAGCAATATACGAAGAAACCTACTGAATGGCTTCAAATAAACACTGTTTTGCCAAATATCAGACTGATGTCAACCGAATTTGTAGAACCTGAAATACCATCAAAATTATTTGTATTTTTGTTGTTTTATCAAATGAAACTATTAAAACCTGTTATTATCCTTGATCATATCTTACACTTAAAAAATTGTAATTACTCGTTTAAACTACAGGTACACACAGGTTAACAAAACTTCTACTTTGTTGTTGTTAATTGTCTTGTGGACAATGAAATGATTGTGTTGATTTTAAACCCTGGTAGTTTCATAGAATAATCATTTAATTATGATTGTGTTAAATGAGTTTTGATTAGGAATAAGAAATATCAAAATAATCCTTACATTGAAATTAAACTTTTTAATTATCTAATCTTTCTACATTAACATATCTGATTTGTGTATTTCTTCTTCAAATGATATACATTCTTTAATGTTGAATCACTTTTATTTTTCTGAGTTGTCATGTTTTATATGTTGTTTGTCTTGTTTATATCTTTGCATAAATTCAAAATATTTGTTCTAAAAACTGTAACATGTTTCTGAGACAAAGATGATATAATTTTTTGAAATTAATTAATGTACATGGAATAATAAGATAAAAAGAACTGGATATTTGAAAAGTAGAATAGACTCAAATAACTGGGAATAGTATT